ACACCCCTCCATCGCTGCCACACCTATGAAAAAAAAGAGCAACAACCACCACCACCACCTCCACACCCCCTCCTCCCCCACAAAAAAAAACACAAACCCAAAATTCGCGCCAAAAATACCAAAACAAACCAATAATTCCCGCCAAAAAAATATCACAATATCCTCCATGTGATTCCCCCTCCCTCCCCAGTGTCTAGGCTTTAGCCCCGTAGTAAACGGTGGTGGAGAAGTGGGTGAAATGTGGAGGGAGGGAGGGAGGGAGGGAGGGAGGGAGGGAAAGATGAATGGAGGAATGAATGGGGTGCTGCTACTGCCTACCGGTGTGACGCAGACGCCGCTACCTTGGCAACGCCCAGGTGCCAGATACCAATTTTCCCCCATCCATAAAGGGGATCCCTTGGTGGAGACTGTGTTTGTGTGTGATTATACCCCCTCTGTGTGTGTGTGTGTGTGTGTGTGTGTGTGTTCGTCCTTATAACAACCATCGTAGTATTATAGATCAGTAAAAATAGGGAGGGTAGATAACACGGCTCCCACCTCACACGGGAAGGCTATCAACAGGGGATGACGTGTTGCAAAGCTTCATTGATATAGAGAGGGAAGTTAGGTTTACACACACACACACACACATACACACACACACACACACACACACACACACACACACACACACACACACACACACACACACACACATCAGACATGTACAGGTGTATAGGTAGGAGTTGATTGCTCCATACAGGTGTGGGTGGGAGGTTGCCAGGGAGCACAGCGCCTTGTAAGACTGTGTGGTGACGTAGGGAGGCAGGAGGACACTTTGTAAAGGTGACAGGTTCCTTGTACAGGTGTCAGGGGTGTTTATCCTCACAGGTATACACAGGTGAGTCTTTGTTGAGATGGGTGTACTAAAAAGAGTAAATTGTGGTGGGATATTTCTTGGGTGCTCTCTCTCTCTCTCTCTCTCTCTCTCTCTCTCTCTGTCACATGTATGCTTTTGGCCAATGGTTGTTTCTTTGCTTTTTCTCTGACGTTTATTTTTGCTTAAATTTTCATGTACTGGAGTATATTGAACGTGTGTGTGTGTGTGTGTGTGTGTGTGTGTGTGTGTGTGTGTGTGTGTGTGTGTGTAGCCTGGCATCAGCACCCCTCCTCAACCATTGATCGGATCCGTCAGTATAGAGAGCTGGCGTGATCAATGGACCATCTGCCAGACCTTTCCTCCATTACTCACACTCATTAGTCTCCCACAACCTCCGCCCCTTTTAACCTTCCATTATCCAGAGTGTCAGGTCGCTCCTTAATTATCTCCCCCACCACACACACACTATACACCTACACTGAACAACACAATAAACACTGTTCTCCCTTCCCCCTTCCTTAATCCTACCGTACACAACCTTTCCTCCTCCTACCCTCCCTTTATTCCCTCATCAATACACCCTAAAAACCTATCCATCCATCACCCTACCTCTAATTTCCTTTCCTCACCCTCTTAAATTACCTCACTTTAGTTGTTCCTCCCTTACAGTTTCACCCTAATTTACCCTACAGTTTCACCCTACTTACACAACATCCACACCTATACCTTCTTCCTTACCTATCACCCTTGCCACACCCTATTCTACACCATTACCCTCCTCCTCACCACACCTTGCCTACAGCTTCAGTCTACCTCTATCTACCTACCTCCCCACACAGTTAGGTAGGTAGGTAAAGGTAGGTAAGCAGGTAGTTAAGTTAAGTTAAGTTAAGTTAAGTTAGGTTAAGTTAGGTCCTGTACCCTACAAGTATTGACACCTCACAATCAATATCCTTCACCTGTCCTCATGGCTCAAAGGTCACCAATGTCGCTTCCCGCCACCGTGACCCACCACCCGAGAAGGTCAACCTGGGGGTGACCTTTCTTACCCCGTGACGTAATAGAACACAGAGTCTTTTATTTTTCAGTACCTTGGTCATCTTGGTGACCTGACCTCTCTCTCTCTCTCTCTCTCTCTCTCAACAAGGTCAGATTAAGTTAAGTGAGGTGACATGTGATTAGGTTAAGTGAGGCTAGGTTAGTAATTATGTCTTAAGGAAATGTATCTCTTAATAAACTTAACCCAGGTATTTTTCCCCAATTAACTGAAAATTTCCCCGTTGACAGAATTTCTCCCTAGTCACTAAATATTTACCCAATATACTGGAGGTTTCCCGTTAAGGTGGTATTTTTCCCATCATTTTATGTCTCCTATTTAGTCCCGATATTTCCTTTAACTGGTTGAGTGTTTCCCTAATCGCTACTAATTGCCAATTTTCCCGATAAGCTGATCCTTCCAATATACTGTAAAAATCTTACCTAATTACCCGAACTTTTTTTCCCCGATTAACAGATATTGTTTCCCCTAGAGCAATTTCCTCATCAATGAAAACGAGATGCTGTTTCTTTTTTCCCCTAAACATTTTATTTTTCTTCCAATAAGGATTTTTCCCTAACCACTTGAAGGATTTTTTCCCTATA